TTTACTCTCATTTGCTCAAATGTGTCTATGTAGTTTAACATGCAGGATTTGTTTTTAATGCAGCTGTCTGATTGTCTGTCATTCCCATTCATACATTTCTTTGCTTTTTTCACCAGTAAAGCGGCAGTGGAGGATAAACAACTCCAAAAAAAATAATAATCAAACCATTTTTACACATTGTTGAATGAGTTGTTTTTTACACTTTCAGTTTTTTTAAATAAAAGTGAGAAACTAAACTCTGTAAATTTCACTAAAAATGGAGTGTGTCCTCCCATGATGGGCTAAACTGTGTATTGAACTTCATCTGATTGTTAACTCTTTACCTGTCCCTCTGCTCTGCTCGGTCCATCTCATAAGGTGACAGTCACCTTCAAGCCGCATCAGAGAACAAATCAATCACAACACAGGTGGAGGGTGCCTGTCATGCCATCTTGTGTGAATCTAAATATTCATTCAGATTAACATGCTGACAAAAGTGGTACAAAAGGTAAATGACTGACTTACCCATTGAGTCCGCCGGCATCTCAGTGTGAGTGCAGAACAAACAGGAACACTTTCTTCTTTTGGCCTTCTATTGTCCTCTAGGCACCAAGTCACCTCGCCTTTGGGGTTTACCACTGGTGCCTCTTTAAATGGTCCTTTAGTTTGAAGTGAAGAATCGACTATAATGCATTTCCATGTCCCATGCAGGCTCTGAGGGGGAATATGTTTTTAGATGTATAATTAACACCACGGGGCCTGGAAAGTGTGTTTTTTTTTCTATTTGGGAATGGGTAGCACCAGCTGCACCATGCAGGATAAAGAGCTGATAAAGGAGGAAGATTTTGAGAGCATGGCGTTGGTTGTTGCTTTGGAATAACAGTGTGGCAACAGAATGATCTGTCAGACACCTCACTCTAGCTTAGTGTTATTGGGATAAAGTGGAAAGCTCTGTCGCAGGAGTTGCTGCATTACTCCATCATTCACCATGATTATTGTTATGTGTTGTGACCTGTGTGAATTATCACTGCACAGGTCTGCTTTTTTTCCCCCCTCTCCCTCCATCAGGCACAGGCCTGCTACATATTTCAATACTGTTCCTATTAGCTGTCTGTGCCATTCTTCAGGAAACACGAGACACAGGGAACCCTTTATCACTTGGTTGTTTTCTTGTTGAGAGCTAGATGAGAATAATCTCACTCGAATCTCAGATTTCCAAACGAGGAAAGCTTTTCCAGCCTCTGCCGGGTGGTCTTAGTGAATGATAAACACACACATGCACACACACACATGGTTACACGCATTTCTAGGAGCTAAAAGACTACCATTTGGCCACAGGATCTGTTAAACTATTATTTTTACAGGGTTTTTTTGTTCACTTTGATTTGCTTTTTATAATGTTATATGGTAATTTATGAGATATTTGAGTGCATATAAGCAGATCTCACACCCTGCATTAATGTGTTTGTTGAACAAAGTAAACACAAGTGAATAGCTCCAAGTTTGTCACTTTACATCTGGTATCAGATTGTACTTTCTCTGCACTGGCCTCTGGGGTTTAGAGCTCGCTTTGCTCCTCTGTGCATGGTGTGCTTTTAACTTGAGAGAGGAGACAGTCAATTTTAGATGTCTGTTGGAAAGTATTACTTTTAAGCAAATGTGTGACCATACTATGTCCAAACCTCATTCAAAAGTGTCCTGGGCAGTTGTATACTAACTATTGTCTTTTCAGTGCATTTATGTAAATTACCTTTACTTCTGTTTTCAGTCTACACCACTTAAGGCACATAATGCTTAGTTTTACCAGATTTCATGTTTCCTCATTTGTTGTTTGGATTTGTTTAATGCCTTATGTTGAAAATGTGCACATTTATACACATCTTTAAAAAACGTTCCAGAGTTACTCAAAAGGCTGTATTGGACAGAAAGTCACTCTGTCGCACCTAACACTAATTGAAATGAGTGTGGAGCCAGTCCTCTCATCTACAACCTATTTTGGCAGTAACTTTTGCAACATACAGCTAGATGCATATCTGTTTGGACATTCAACACAAAGTTTGTTTACTAAAACATAATCAAGTTATAGTTATATAATGGACAAGCATGGCAGCTCATGGCACTGGGTCACTAGTGTTTATTGATGATGTGACACCAGACAGAAGCATCTTAATGAATTCTGAGGTATTCCTGTAAAACAGCAATTATGCTGAGTCAGGCTTGATTTTTAGTAATCTTTTCCTGTTAAATCAATAAATCAAATCAAATTCAAACATGAACACAAATACACTGTAAATCTCTATATATAGATATTTAAATATATAATCTGGTAAAACAAAGGTGCTGTGGAAATGTAGAGACAATTACACCTTGCTTTATTCAACGCAGTATACAGTACAGTTTACTCAAAGACCATGCATAGTTAAGCCTAATAACAATAGCCTATTATATTCCCTCCCCACACCAATGAGATAACCACTATTTAAATATATTTTATATGCCACTATTTGTCTCCTGCAAGACCTCTGGGATCTTATTTCCATTGTAGGCTTGTGAGGTATCTGCTTAAATATAACTGTATCATTAAAGTTGGAGCTGTATATTCTCTATGAGTAGTATACATTATATTGTAATTATACATTGTGTGCCGAAAAACTGTTGTGATGTTAGTTTTAATTGCTCAATAATTCTCTTTAAGTATCACCAGCGTTTAGCTGCTTCCTTGTTATTCTGACTTTGTCTTCAAGGTTGTTCGCAGTCCTCTTCTTTCTGTGTGTGATATCTGGTGTTAGTCTTTGAAAGTCACTCTGATTGTTGTTGCTTCTGTCAAAGTCAAAAACTAAAGTAGTAACTGGCATGATGTTCAACAGATTTACTTTTTTTAACGATATAACCAGTGGTTCGAGTGATATTTCAGTGTCAGTTTGAAGGCAGAGCAGAACAGAACTGGGCTTCATTGGATTAAACACTCTGCACCTTTGTATCATTCACTTTAACAATCTGCTGTAGCCTGAGTAAATTAGTCTTCTATCCGTTTTACCTGCAGTAAATGAATCTGTCCATCAGCTTGTGTCTCAGGTGTTGAGGTGAAGTTATAGTTGTTCCTGCCGTGACTGAGAGACGCTGGCTGTTGAGACCTTAACTTGAATTTTACTTTTTGATGGGCTCTAACCATCTTTATTTTTGGTTCATTTTAAATAGCTGTGCTGAAGATGTGCATTTGTTGTCTTACCTCTGACCTTTTGACACAACAGATCCCATTTAAAATTGCTGTTTCCAGTCTCTACAGGGACATGGGGAAAGATCTGAATGTGAGGAAAAATGTATTATGTAACTAGTGTTGTATTCCTTTGGGTGATGGATCTGATGGCAAGTTGGATTTCTTCCCGACGGCGAGCAAATGAAAGCTGGACATTTGATAAAACTCCATAAAGCACATATTTTGCAGTGCGCTTTCTAATCTTCCAAGATGCATGCCATTTAGAATGACAGACTCCTTAACTGTATCAGTTTTTGTTTTGACATTTTCAAGCAGTTAGCAATGCCTTTAGGGTTTTCATTTAAAACTTAAACACATTTCAGTGGCTGTCATGTGTAAAACACAATGAAGGGATGATAATTAGCATCAATTATGAGATACAAGCTGTTTCCTAACACAACTATTCTTGCACTTCCTAATATATATCAAAAAAGGGAGTGCTTCAAACACAAAAAGTCGCTCGCTGTTCAAGGCTATTTAAAGCTATTCTTGTTGCAGTTTCTCTAAGGTACGAGAAGGTTTCTGGCAGGTGTAGACAAGTGAAGTCTTAGTGGAACACAAAGCACAAGCAGAGTTTCCACTSTCATGACTCGGAGGCTATTAGCTCCTCTCAGGGTACATATGTTGGTTATCTGACCGGGAAAAAGAAATTAAGCCCRTCCCTGATGGGCAAGTCCACTGTAATCATTTAAAAGTGCAGCTGCATGCAGATATAACTGACTGAGTTGAATAATGTATCTAAAAGCCGAACCTCTAAGCGTATACTCAACTGTATAGCTTTTAAAAGCTTCAAGTAGGAGAACGTCATGTGTGACATAATTAAATTCCAGCCAAGTTAATTCAAACTGTTTAATGATGCAGGGAGAACAATTTCTTTAGCTGTGCTCGCAGTGGGGTGGTCCACAGAGGCTGAGAGTGAGGGGAAGTTCACAGACACACACAGAGGAGGATGGCTTGCTTTCTTCATAGACTTAGAGCGACGTGCTTTTGCTGCATTGGGAGCACATATTCATCACATTGGCGTTTTTTAATCATGCCAAATGTGTGCAATGTTTGTTCTCTCTTGTTTAATATGCACTACTGTAAGGAAATTTAGTGTTCGTTTACTGAAATCGTGATGAAACCAACTGAATGTTGAATAGATTAAAATGTGAAGGGAAGGACCATACAACACCAGTGACTGGAGTGAACTCTGATTTTAATGCTCTCAAGGCAGGCATGAAACCAATGCTGCTGGAAACTGAAAGTCCCGGTCTATAACTACATGGTTCTTCAGTGCCTGGTACGCCCACTACAGGCCTATGGCTGAATCGCAGACACTCGTACAGACATCCTGTCCTCATGTTTGATTAACTGTTTTTCTATGTGTTGTGATGTTGTTTCGGGCATGTATCTAAACCTGTTTTAATCAAGACATAACAATAGTCAAACAATAGATTATAAGAATCAATACTTAAAACAGAAAACTATGAATATGGTGTGGTGCTTTTAAAATCAGTTTCTAAATGACTAAATAAATGTCTTCAACTTCCCCTTGTTCACATGACATTTACTCATGTGAACACTACCCTTCTAATAATAATAACAAAAATAATGGTAGAAAATTATCAGTAATTTGGATTTTAAGTCAATTCTTCGCTATTTTCTTTTGTTTGTGGTTTAAAGGTTCAGATAATTTGATTTGTGTGGGGTGTTTCATCCTGTTCTCAAAAAAAGAGGAAAAAAACACATTATTGTGTTTTTATGTGTTTCTTTTTTTTTCCAGGAGTTGAGGCCAGACAATGAGGGGGAAGGAGGAGATGAGTCTGGCGGGTAATCCCACACCACCTATCCATCAACCCGGAGACTATTTCCAGCATCCCCTGCAGAATGTCAAAGCCTCGCTGAGCAGAAGATGAGTCGATCATCTTCTTTCTAAGACTTTCCCCTGAGTTTCCATCAAAACACATAAACACATCATGTGCCATTATTTTCTATTGCCCTCCCCTCACTGCTGTCAATGGAGGGCTGCAGCAGTGAGTAAACGTAGCTGAGAGAGTTGTGTTCTATGCAGAGCAGYGTCAGTGTTTGAAAACTACAGGATGTGACAGGATCCTTTGTCTGTCACCGACATCACTCTGTATGCGTTGTGATGGGGCATGTGCCTGAGATCTCCTGTCTAATAGGAAGTGAGACACTTAAAGAGATGACCCTGGCTCAGTTGCCAGAGAGAGAGTTTGGCTCTCGTATTACTCCAGCACTTACTAATTAGCGTCTGTCGCTAGAGTAACTTGTACCTGTCAGTGTGTGCTGCTCTCCTATATTCAGTAAGTTGGAGGCAATTGAAACTGAATGCCAGCTAAGATCCAACAAACTGCAATTGGTGCGCGCCATACATCCTGATTATCCTCACTGACCCGACAGCTTTACATGAAAGAAATTGCTTTTAATGAACACAAGACTGTTTCGTCCAGATTCTGCAGCTGACGTGGAATGTTTTATCCTCTCTGTTAGAAGTTGTACATGTTTTATTGCAATCTTTTAATTATCAAGTCCCTGTTTACATCCATGTATGAATACCAAAGCCAATTTGTGCCAGATAATCCAGTGCCTATTTACATTAAAGAGACATGGTGAAACTGCCAGGCCGTTGGTCGTTTTTGGTCCGGTTACAGCGGCCACTTTGTTTTTTGTTCAGCCAGGAAAAGGTCAAGTTTGTTACAGATGCTTTCCTCGCCACCCCCAGGATTAGCCGTGCTGTTCAGAATTCATCCTTCCACATTCCATTAGGTGATTTATCTGCCAACTACACTACATAATGAGTGAAGCATGAATTACAGTCAAAGTAGTACAAATATTTCATTTACATGCACATCAACTCCGACATGGTGAATTGTTCCCAGTTTGACGCAGCCCTGTTTTAGGGCTAATCTCTCTCTGTTTGCAGATGCTCAGTCATAGCAAACATTTTACTCGTTTTGAATAATGGATTTTCCTCCTGTGATTGTTTGTTGCTGTCATATGCGAAATAGCAACCTTGCATCAAGTGTGACTTGTGTAACTATTGCAAAAGCACCTCCCCAGCCTCCCTATTCAGAGAAACACACACACACACACACACTACCCTCCATTTAAACTGTCTGAGACTGTTGATCAAACTCCAGGTTGTGCCCAAACATACAGATCCCTCTGTACAGTCGCCCTTGACCTTGCTGTGTGTCCTCAAGCACAAGACACCCGCATGAAATTAAATTACAGATTAGTGGCTCCGGGCCCAAAAAAAAGGAGTTTATTTGGTTGGCTCTTCACTGAGAAGAGCTCATTTTCTCATTTAGGAGTTGAGGGGAAAAAACTGTAGTGGGAATTAAAGAAGAAAGTGCCAGTCTCGAAGATATTTCTGTATTCTAGTAGTGAGAGATGCATCCAGTGCTGTCCAAATGCTGAAATCTCTGCAAAGACTTCTAAATCCTGTAGGGAAAGAGGACATGGCCCATTTGAAATAGGTTTGTGAGTTTCGAAAACTGAGTACTTGCAAGAAAAAATATTATGTATGTATAAAAACAGTTCTTTACAAGGGAAGAAAAAAAAGGATCAGAGTGAAGAAAGTCTGAAGCAACATCAATCTGTTTTTTAGCCCCTTGATGAGAAGCCTTCAAATTAAAGTCATTCTTGTGAGACAAAAGGAGGGAGCAAATGCCAAGCTCCCTTTTAATTTGGAAATCTGTTAAGCCTTTCACAATCCTTAATTCTCAAAGCCATCACTTCAGACCTCACTGATAGTCAAAGTGACCATCAGCTGGCAGTCAAAACGTAGGGCTTTGACACACAAATCCYGTGGTTATTGTTGCCAAAGTAAAGCTAAAGTGGATGGGAGGAAATAGACCTCAAGTCAGGGTTTGAGTTTCATTTGATAAACATTAAGACACCCAATAAAAAATCTGATGTAACGAGATTAGAACATTGTGGCAATCTTTGGAAAAAGTATTCTTGTTTGTGAATAAACTCCTGTTACTTTTAAAACAAACCTGCAGGAGCCTGTGACCTTAGATTGCATTTGGTAACTAATTACAACACAATGGAAAGACTGACTAATACACTGACCAATGATATATTGTGAAACCATAAATATGACTTTATCATGCTCTGATTTAGTAATACAGACCTGGCAATGGTCTGTACATTTTTAAATACAATCAAAACTTCCCTCTATTTTTTTACTTCAATCCATTATTAGCTCAACTCAAAAATGGTGACTTCAGTGGGGATATATAACTTTATTACAGAGGTAAATAAGATAACTTAGTTTGTTGATTTGTTTTGTATGCTTGTGGCACTGTACAGAGCATAAACAAACAGGTGGATCATTACAAACTTAGCACAAAAAGTTAGGATATTTGAAGATTGGACCTCATGCAAGAACCGTTCGTACGCACAGATTTGTTCTTAAGTTGTGCGTACGAGTGATTTAGGAGAATTTGTGGCATTCACCAATGTTTTCGTATTCTAAGATTTTTTTCAGATACGAACAAAATTCACAAGTGGTCCAGACCTGTCGTATATTTTACGAGCAGTCAGTCTGCTGATATCCAGACGGGTTTTTTCCTCCCTAATAACTTTATATTTCATTAGTTTGAAGATATTTTGAGTTGAAAATAAATTACACTTTGTACGAACCCTTTGTACGAACAAAAGTAAGAGAAATTTAGGATAAGAATACGAACATGTTCTTGCATGAGGCCCATTATTTTTTTGTTGTAACAATGCTTATTGGCAACAAATCTTATAGCGTTGGAAAGTCAGTTACTTTTCCTTTTAAATGGAGCCACATTTGTAAGGAACATGCATTTGTGGGACTGCTGGAAATGTGCACCAGTGACCCTGAAAGGAAGAAGTGGGTAAAGGATAATAAATGGATGGATGTACATTAAAAGTGCAAAAGCTTGTTGCCAGCATAGAAGATGGAATTAAAATATATTTTAAATTTTTCTTATTAGAACTGAACACCATCTGCAATCTAATGATGGAGGATATTTATCTGTACATCAGTGATACAGCAATTTGTTTCCAACATAAACTGAAAACATCAATCCTTTTTTGGGGGGGTATTGTGTATCTTTAGGCACATCAAAAAAACATCAAAAATAAGTTAGATTTTGCATCGTAGCCTCTAAACGCCTTGAAATTGGTCTCTGTCTCTTTAAGAACATTCTACCATTTCAGACACTCCCTCKTCAGCATAGTAAATATACCTCATTGGTTAAACAATGCTTCAGGGGAGGGGTGCTCTGTGGGGGTGGGAGCTTGGCTGCAGACAGAACTCCAGGGGAGGAGCTATGTAGCAGCAAGCRTTTAGGCAGCTCCACAACATGCATGGATGAGTCAAAGCAACACTCTGGGTGAGTTTTAATGAGGCAATGACATTATAACATGATATAAAGCTCAAAATGTTGCACAATACCCCACTCAATATTAATGAATGAGGAATGCGCTTGAAGAAAGCTTTTTTTGTTGTTGTTTAGTGACTAGTTTTGTAAATCTTGCATTAAACACACATCAGTTTCTTTGAAGTAATCAGGAGATAAACGTTAAGTTCTCTTTTTTGTGTTTACACCTGGCTCACATTCTGTTTGCAACGTTCCACCTGAGGTCAGCGGCTTTCTTTCAGAGTACTGTGAACCGAGAGCTTGGCTGGTTTTACTTTAATAAAGAACTGATTCACACCAGAGACGACGTGCGAATGCAATTAAGCAGATGGTAGTAAAGGAAATCAGCTCCAGGACCAGGATTGWAGACCACTGTGTAATTGGTTTATTCATGGAAACGTGGGATACTCTATCACAAGTTATCAAGATGTATGTAAATAGCTCCGGCTCTGGCTGCTGGTCAGCGCCACGGAAAAGTAGGCGTAGCATGTAAACACACATTAGGAATTCAGCTCAGTGGGAGCTTCGTTGCATCAGTCCTACAATCGGCTGGATTTGTGCAGCACTTTAGCAAAAACCCTGACAGCCTCTTACAGTGTTTTCCTATTTTTTTTTCTTTTCTTAGAGAAGTTCAACATTTGGTTTGTCATGCTCTGGCTAGAAAGAAGAAAAAAAAAAAAGACTGCACCGCTGTAGGCTAATAATGCTAATAATGATTTGTGATTTATTTTCATTTTATTTAGGAGCAAAATACTATCACATCAGCCTCCATCCCTGTGTTATCATGACACTAAAACATACTGTTATATGAAGTGCAGTTTTAATTAATTGTTAATTTTGTGTAAGTCATGTAAAGGAAGGTACATTTTTTTTACTTTTCTCTACATACATAAAAAAAGATTAGTTTTATGAAGCCTCTGCAAGGATACCTCCTGTTATATTGTTACAGATTCTGGAATTAATAAATGACAATTTATTAGCAACGGCAATCAAGTTCAGATTTAACATGAATACAAGTATTGGCTTAAAATACTTGTTGATGCTAGTCCTTGGCTGCCAAAAACCTCCAGAAAAAAGCTGATTGGTCTCTGACTTTTTGGTTTGTTTGTGCTGTGTGATAAGACCAGCACAAATAATAATTAAAGACCTGTCAGTGGGGAAAAAAAAGCCAACTTTCCAGCATCCTCACCACCAAAAATAATTGGGAGATGTCTAAAGAGACTGGATAATTTTGGAAAAATGGCTGAATGTTGTGAAGTTTTAAAGAAAGATAACCCATACAACTGTCAAGCGTGGTCTTTCTTCAGACCAGTATTTCACAAGGTTTAAAACAGATATTATTGCCAAAATTAATCAGTGGTAATAAACCAAATACCTGAATACAAACCTGACGTATATTTTTAGAATGACAAGCAGCCTTGATGGGCATACCTGGGAGGATTTAATAGAGGAAGAAAATTAAGGTTTCAGTCTGTGGGGCAAACGTGCTGAGCTTCATGGCAAATATTTACTGGCACTAAAAAAGATTAGGCCAAAGGATTGAAACAGCTATAATAATTCTTCTACCAGACAATCCAGGTGAATGGAAAGCTGCAGGGAAAAGGCTCTTGATATATTTTGGATGGGAGTTATCGCTGAAGCGTCCAGGTAAAGCCACACAGAACAGTCCAAGGATCTTGAGAAAAAAGTTGCACCAGTGTTACTTTATGTTGAACTGAATCAATTTTATTTATGTAATTGAACCAGTTCAATTATATATAGTTCACCAGTTCACAACAACACTGTTTATTCTGTAGAAACCAAGACTGCCAGAGATGGCAATGCTCCAACCTTTAGCACCTATAAAATAAAATATTCCACAATAAATAAATAAATAAACAAAACCCTCTTTCTCTTTGAACGAAGCGGGTCAGGTCATCAAAAATTCTATGATTTCTCAAATAAATGAGTCACAGCGACGTGCCCTCAATACCAACGAGCGGTTTCACCTCGCTGTTGCGTCTGCTGATGAGTGAAATTGCGCCATGCCTCCAGAAGAGCAGCTGGCTCTCTGAAGACGCTGGGAAGGAAAGGTCAGCTGGCTGCAGCCTAGTTTTGAGTTGCAACATCAAAGGCGGGCAGGTGTGGTTGATACAACAAGTAGCAGAGCTGTCCCTGGTGAGCACGGAGGAACGGCCCCTTGAARTGGTGTAATATCTGAACAACATTCAGACTGCAGAATC